GTTGGCCAACAGCCGTGGAGAGCTTTCTCTCTCAGAAAAGAAAGTCCTTGTTCTTTCTCTTCATCTGGATTTCTTCTATTCAATTCACCACTTCTTTTTATTGATTTATGCTGGAGCATGCGAGAAAAGGCAGCACTAATTAAATTAAAAAAAAAAAAAAAATCAGTATTTATCTGCCTTCCCCGGAGAGACTGTCACTGTCAGCTTTATTGTCACAGTCTCTCTCTGCTGCCAACATTAGTACAACTCTAGGGCTTGTTTGGGCTGAAGTCTTATCCAGGCTGAGTAATATTCACAGAATTGGTCCCAAAAAGGTGCGTAAGGCTTCGAGAAGGACACAGCATGGTGGTGCATAAAAGGAGTCCTCACTAAGACCTCACTTCCTCTCTGAAATCCCTCTTCCTAAAGCCTTACAAGGACATCCCATAACCAACAGAAAACACCATCCAGACGAGACATGAGTCTTACACATTACTCAGTCTGGCTTCATTTTGCCTCTGGTAAAATACACCGTCGCATCTGTCTATTCCCTGTCATATAACGAAAAGTATTTATCTAGTTGCTAACAAACATCAAGATACACACACCTTCAAAAAACACAGTTCTGCTTCCGCCCATGAATCATTCAACACCTTACGTAACTGCGGAGGTAATATGGAAACGTTTCATATGTGATCACTTAACAAAAAGTTGGTCATAAACCTACCTGAAATGCAAAAATAACCCTTAGTTTTAAAGCATAAAGATCTGCTTTATAAAGAAATTCCTGTCCTCAATCTCTTGTTTTTGTCACTGCACTGCAGTTCACTCTCCCTTCTGTCTTATCCAGACAATTATCAACGGCCCACGTTGTAGTACGGCTCCAGACATGATCTGTGGAGAAAATACCTTCTTTCTCCCAAAAGGAGGGTGTTTTGGCACAAGAGAAGGGGTGGCTCAGTGCTGAAGGAAGTGTATGCTGTAACTACGGTCTCAGGTTGTAACTCCCCACTCATATTTTGGTAATGTTTGGAGGGTTAAAACCCTAAAACAGCCTAAAGGCTGTATGTCAAACTAGAAGCTTAACAGACCTAACAGATCTGGTTCACTTTTGAGTAGGACTCTGGGCAGCAAGGAGGAGGTTAACAAGCCAAAATAAACAAGAATAGCCTGGGCATTGCAGTCTGTCTGGGCTGGCGTGATCTCCCCTGCCATTTTGCATACCATCTTCCTGGTATGTGGAACAATGATCTAGAATATGGGAGGTTTAAACATCATTAAAGGACTGCTCAACCTTCTCAGAGAGACAGGTACACATCCAAATTAAATAATCCCTTCCCCCTACCTTTATTTTAAAAACATACATTGGGTAGGGTGCCAAGTCTGGGATACTAGGATGCAACTCCCTGCTCCAAAGCAGCCCTTCGTGGGATCACCATCTACATGGCAGTTTTGTCAGCACAATTATGTCTAGTAGGAGTGTGAATGCAGTATGCTGGCAAAACTCCTCCGTTATTACAAGTATGGTGACAAAAGAGCACCTTGTCAGCTGAGCTACATTTGCCAGGGGAGATAGTGGAGATGAAGTAACAGTTATGTTGTGGAGTTAGACACTTTATAGAGACAAACTCTGAAAAATCAGTTCCGATCTGTAAGATGGGGATAAACAATATATGGTCTGACCTACATATAACATTCTTAACTTATCTTGATCTTCTCTTGTGACCTTATTTCATCAATGAAATAGATACATCTGTGTCTGATGGAACCAAATTTTAGGCTATTGGTTCACCCGCATCAAATCTAGACACAGCAAAGTATAATCTGTACTACAGCATAAGTGCTCAATGAGACTCAGAAGCCCTGGTGATGTGTTTTGAAAATCTGACTATAAATAGTCGACTGTGGTGCTTTTGAAACTTCTAATAACCTTGAGAGTTGGTATCAAAAAGCCTGAAAATTACCATCCAATCAGTACCTTTAATGCATTTTAACTAGAATACTGGAGTGTATTTGGTGGATGTGCCTCAAACTCGCAAATGTCTGGGAGAGCCTGACCCTTTCAAAAGAACAAGTTAAAAAGTCAGGTTAAACAAAAGCTGCAGTCTGAACTTTGACTGTATTAGCCTAGGGATTTCCCTTTTTCCTTGGAAGATTTCTGTTAAAACTCTTAAAAGGCGAGTACACAAATTACTGTTGATATTTTAGTTTCACATTGAAGTGATTGCTTTGTGGGAGGAACACTAATTCATGCAATTTTGTCCAACACATAAAAAGGTGGTCCAATTAAAAAGAAAAGAAAATCCTCTTCCCTGAGGGCAGATTTCCTAGCCATAACACTCCCATCTGCATCAGAAAACCAGAAAGACCCCAGAAACAAAACAAGCCCAAAACACAGTCAGTTCAGAGGCATCAGCACTGCTGTGTCACAGCCCTCTGCAGATAATCTTTTTTGCTCTTTTCCCTCCCCTACTGGGAAATTACAGGGATGGTCTTATCTGGAACAGGAGATCTAGTCTAGAGAGGTCAAATCCCAGAGTTAGCCTGTTGGACAGGACAATCGGTCATGGAAAGCATCCAGCAGGAGCCAGGTTAAGTGAGGCTAATAAATAATGCACAAATGCAAAGTAAGTGACAACAACAGAGGATGCACTGGTCATTAGGTCAAACAGCAAACTCCACACTAACAAATTACTTTTAATCCCAGTCTAATAAACCGTAAACCCCACTTAGGTAACTCTCAATAGCTACCTTCCTAGGAAAAACTCTGTTTCTCTTCCTTCCCCTCTTCAGAGAAGTGTCTGACAGTGAGATCTTCAGGGCAGATGGACAGCGGGGAGTAGTTTCTCTTTC